TCGGACTCCTTGAAGTAACGAGCATGCATTACACCACTCATGCCAGACTGTGTCCTAGCCTGAGACACCTGCCCTAACCACAGCCCTTGTGCTGGCTTAGGGCTGTAGAGTCTCTGAAAACGTGTCTGCCAGGCAGCGGACCTGCCTCGTACCACGCTGCAAAGAGTTAAGCTCTTGCTCTGTTGATATTTCCAAGTGGCTCCAAAAGTCGGCCGAGACGGGGAGCGCCCTGATTGGCTGCGTACCGGTCGGTAGTAATTAGTATCAGATATCAAACTTCTGTCTTTGCTAAGACCCTTTCCGATAGTCGCTGCTCCCTGCTAGACTATGACATCAGCCAGGACACCCAGCTGCTGATAGTAAACTCCACGTGGGAGGAGGCTCCTGTTAGCTGGAAGTTAATTAGTTCAACACAGCACAGGGGGAGCAGTTGGTTTCTGTGGAGGGTCAGTGCTGGATGGGACCAAATCTTTCAAAGCCACTTGCTGCTTCTTGCCAGCCAGCTGTAAAAGCACCCCGAGACTCCCACAGAGCTGGATGAATCCTGAGCACTAGCCGTGGCCAGCTTTCCTCTTTGGAGCACGTTAATGGTTTAAGTGAGGGGCGTCTGGAACTGCTCCCCGAGTCACCATGACACTCCTGGGGTCTGAGCATTCCTTGCTGATTCGGAGCAAGTTCAGATCAGGTAGGGGAAACCTTGAGATTTTTCTTAAAACTTCTCTCTCCGGCAAGCCTTAGTCACAGACTGTTTTGCATTAAATGTTTGGAAGCAGCGTGCGAGTAAAATATTCATGGGGTCGTAGAGCTGTCACAGCTTCGGTCTTGTAGAGGCTATTCTTTGAGCAAAGAAATGAATCTTCCTTCCTCTCTGTTGCTATTTTTCTGATTTTTTATTGTCTTCAGTTTATGTCTGTGGTTTATTTTGGTAAAACTGCAATTCCTGGGTCTTCTGCCCTGGCCCTATTGTAAGGATTTTGGGCAAGAATCCAAAAGGGCATCTTTGAAAAACAACGTACCTAACTCCGTCCGTATATTCCAGGTGCTCTTGTGGGTCTATCTGTGATAATCGCGGTGAAGACGGGCCTGACATTCCCTCTGACATACAGGCAGCTGACTTTGTTCCATTAAGTTGTGACTAATTGGAGAAAAATGAATTTGAAGAAATGCGTCATTTTTAGAAGTAAAAATAACAAATGGAACATGAAAAGTATTTAAAGTGACATCATCAGAGAAATAAAACCAGAGGCACACAATTGATTGCCAGTCTCGGAGGGTTTGCAAGTAAAACATGTCTCAGTCTCGTAAGTTAAGGGAAAGCTCCGGTAAGGGGCTTCTCAGAGGACGTTCAGCGTGAGTGAAGGTGAGTGAAGGTGAACTATGGGACGGTCGCTTCTAAACCAGACCCTCTGCTGGATATTCATGCCTTTATTCACAGGCTGTATTTATAGTAAGTATGCTGTGTTTGTGAGTGGGTATTTTTACTTTTAATTGTTTTAATTAATATAGCATTCTGTAATATTAACAATATTGACAAAAAATGTTCTTGAGGGGCTTTGGCTGACCTCCCCAGGGGTGAGGTTCTCCCTGTGAATATTGTCTGTCCAGATGCTCAGGAAAACCATCTGCATGTGTCATGGGGGACTCTGCAGAACCTGACGGGTAGTGCTGCATGTGTCATAGGGGACTCTGCAGAACCTGACGGGTAGTCACGCTGGAACACGCATCCCTCCTGGCATGTCACCCACGCCGTGTGTGTTTTTTGCCTCCTTGTGCATTGTAGATAATGAGATTGGAGATTTACGATACTGATGGTAGACATGAGTGGTGTTATCAGGATCTCTTAGATAGCTGGGTGGTCAACTTAAACTTTGTTTTCTCAACAAATACAAAATTGGCAGTTGGTTGAAAGCCCAAGAGTGTGTGTGCAAACACGAGTGGTCTTAGTCTGGCTGAATTATACAGAACTTGGGTCCAGGGCTTTGGTGTGGTTTCCATATCGCTCTGATCTTACATTTCATTAGATTAAGTCATTCCTTAGATTTTGTTGGTATATTATCGTACATTACTGTTCATTTGAAGCAAATCTCAGTCTGTAATAATTCCTTCAGCAACTACAAAGCAACACTGCCACCTTTCTGAAGAGAAGAGGATGGGCTGTGTTCTAAAGTCCCTGCATTTTTTTCAAATGAACTAGCATTGTTTTTAAGACTCATTTCTGGTTTATTTGTAAGCTGGCTTTATTATGGAACTAACAGTGGGATCTCAAAACATGTTTTTCAAATGATTCTTCACAAAAAGTAAACTTTGTGGGTTTTACCATCCATAAATCCTTGTGCCTTTCAGCATTTCTAGGGCAGTCAATTTGTGGGGCATTCTTTGGTTCATGACTTATTCCCACAGCTGTGATCCTTCACTATTGGCTGGTGAAAGCCAGGATTGCCATTTGACAGGATTTCTTTGCCTATTTATTATGTTGGACTCAGAGCTGCCAAAATCCCAAATGTGTAGCTGTCCCTTGCTCTACCCATGACTGCAACCATTGCAGGTAATGAGGGTCATGGTCACAGCATAATCCTGGTATCTTAGCCTCTGACGCAGTGGAGGAAAGCAGCATACAAATAAATAATGCTGCCTTCAGTTTGTTCTGGATGTTAGCAATATGGAGAATATAAATGGTCGAAATGGTTATATCTCTTTTACATGAAAGGTCTTTACAGCACAGATGCTCCACTGTTTTCCCTTGTACACACGCAGACCTCAGTAGCTGTCGAGCCCCAGCAGTGATGGAAGGAAGTGCAGAGCTCTGATTTACTGTCCTCCTCCGCGCACTTGGCAGAGGGCTGAATGGCTCACGGAACCCTTGCCCTGCATCTCCCGCTCCTCCTGCATTGCTCAAATGCTCTAACACACTCCTGAACAGGAGCAGTTTACACAGAGCATGGTGCAGCCTGCACGGAGCAGGCAAAGGACAGGCCTTTAGGGATCATGCCATGAAATGCAAAGCCTGGGGGAAACTGTTTTATTGTGATGTGCTGGTGCTTTGGGAATGCGGGCAGGCCTGCGAGTTTGCTCCCCCAGGTACAGGAAGCTGTGACTTACGGTGAGCTTGAATCCTTTTTGAAGGGTTTCAGGTCAATCTTGCTAGAGCTGAGGCAGATCTTAGTAACTAAACTTCTGCTGCCTCTCCATGGTCTGCGTATACTTAGCAGTGGAAATAGCTATTCCAGTGCTAATGGATGCTAGAAACAAATCTCATATTTGAGGCTTCCCCATCCCAGGACCCCTTTAACCTCTGTGGCACACCACATCCAGAAGGTAACGATTAGAAGATGATGGCCAGTAAGTGTCTCTCCTAGAGTGGTTTGAGGGTCAGCTTTATAGCCTCTTGTTTCCATGTGGTTGCATCAGTAGCAAGAGAACGAACGAGTTTGCACAGATAACACTGAGCTGGTAGAGTTGGTGACTTTTTCACACAGTGCCCAATAATCTGTCCTTGAGTTCCTCAGTATTTTCTCCCACTCTTTCTAGTGGTTTGCAGCAAGGGAGCCAGCACAGCTGCGTGGTGGGTAGAGGCAGCAGCTACCCCAGCGCAGGGCACCAGGAGCCACTCCAACACCAACATGTTGCAGGCCTCCAGGTTTCCCCTCCCCTTCCTCGAGGATTTGTGTGTGTGTTTATTTTGACTATTTTGTAAAAGATAAATATACTGATTTGAGGTCATCCTGACAAATTTTTGCAGGAATGATGGTTCTTCAAGCCTGCCATGCTATCCCATGTGCTGCAACTATCAATGGGATTGCACTAAATCAAATAGGACACCTACGGGCTGTTCCAGAAACATATTTAACTCTTCCCAGAGATGATTATTTATGTGAAATGGTCTTCTGCTTTGAATACAAACCAATTGTGCTCAAGCAGCGGAGAAGCGTTGTCATCAGACAGAGGAAACAAAGCTGGCAAATGCAGACTTAACCTTAACTCTGACCTTTTCTGCCCAGACAATATGGAGAGTTTACAAGACCTACATCTGTACTGCATCAGTGGTAGTTCAGAAGTGAAAATTTAACACTCTAAATATGGCTCTGCATGGTTTGGCACATGGTAGTATCCAGGCCTAATGGTGGACACATGTATGTGAATTTGCAGAGAAGACTTGTCTGACTCTGTGGAGGAGAGGATTCAAGCCTCTGTGCAGGGCTTGAATGAAGCTGGCTGAGTTGGGAGAGAAATTTATTATGTCTGCCTCTGGTGGAAAGGTGCCACCCTTGAAGGAGAGAGTGATTTGGACAAAAGTCAGCAAGTCATTAAAAGCCAAAGAGAGCAGGTCTTGGTGGAGCATTAGACTGGACATGCAGGGGCATATTGCTGGAATCTTTTATTTTTTTTAATTTTCCTGGTGTCTAAAGAAAATGCGTGTGCCTTTTTTTTTTTTCCTTACAGATCACAAATTCATACAGTTTGCAATCAGTGTGTGCATTTCCAGCCATGGCCTGTACTTAATTGATGGCATTGTTGCCTGGTTTTCATGAAGTTTTTCCAAAACACTGACTTGATGGACATCAGTTTGTATTAGGTTCATGATGCTGGAAAAACAGAACCAAAGTGTTTCGCTGAAAAAATGTATTTTCTCTGTCAGTGGGTGGGCATTATAGCACAGAGTGAACCATATCTCAGTGTGCATAAGGAAAAGGATGTTTGGCCTGCTGACGTATCAGTGCTGAAGGGATTACTCCTACAAGGTTGGTGACAGCATATTCTAAGGAATATGGAGACTTTGGGATACCAAGTTAAAATGGACAGAGCCTTCAGAGGGGTTTCACCACCCGATTGCTCTTTAAAGGAGATTTGTGCTCATTCAGTAGTCTGGCACCTTGCCCTGCACCCAGGTTTCAGTGCTAGCAACCAGGGCAAGGGCTCCCTGCGCTGTGAACCTGAGAGGTTTAGAGACATGGCTGTAGAGACCCATTCTCACCAGCGTGGGTGGGTTTTTCAGAGCTGTGATGTTTGGCCTCCTGAGTAGCGCACAACTCGAAGCCCATCTGCTTGAGAGAAGGTAAAACTCTTCTTCCCCTGGAGCGCCAAGTGCCATGTGCAGCGTTAAGCTGGTGTGGTTCAGCCCATGTTCCAAGGCAACGTCCTGCCAGGAGAGGACTGACCACGGCTTTCTGTGACTGTCCAGGCTGTGTGGCTGCTGCCCCACATTTGCACCAGGGCTGTGACTGGCTGAGTGTCATCTCTGCTTGCATGGGCCCCACACAGACCAAATGTTGTGTGATGATCCGTTTGGGCCTGGAGATGTCATGCTGAGAGAAATCCCTTGGCGATGCCTGACTATTGGCAGAGCAGATAGGCCTGTAGCTGGAGGGGATCAGGAAAGAACATGGTCAAGGTGCTTTTAGCTCCAGAAAAGCAGGCTACTTGTGATGGTTGTGACACCGAAGATACCGGCAGGCCAGTTACCTAGCACAGGGGTTCTCATGCCCACTTGTCAGGGAGCTTGGTGCCAGTCTGTTGCTTGGTCAGGAGGGAGCGCTGGCTGATCAGTGCTGCTGAAAGTCCTGCTTCTGAGGCAATTGTGAGAAACAGCAACAGGCCTGAGAAGGCCATAAGCAACATCACTGCACCCTGGAGTTAGGTTAATCCTGCTCCTGCCTTGCCTGGACCTTGCAGCAGCCAGGGGGTCTCCAATGCATCCTGCTCTGGGAAGCTTCTGTCCTGCAGGCCTGAGACACCAGCTGTAAAGAGTCTCAAAGCAGGAGGCACTGCTGTCTTTCAAGGGGGCCTGTATTCAAAATGGGGTTATTTTCTGCCAGGCAATGTTCAAACAAGGCAAGTCACCACAGTGCTCTGAAATGCCCGGTGACAAAAGGCAAACATGTGCTTAATGTTTGCTCAGCTGTTGTCTGACATGCAGTAAAGCTGATCTGGCTGCTGAAAACGGGAATCCCTCCTCCCCATCATCCCATTCCCAACTTATTTCCATCTCCCCAGCCCAGGAGTTCTGTTGAACTTGCAGAGCATTTCCCATCTTGTTTACTACTTAGTTGCACTTATACTCTTAATATTCCAGTCCTGGGGCAAAGGAAGGGAGAGAATGAGCTCTTGCGGTGGTAGGCAGAAAAGACTGTGACCTGATGCTGCTTTTTTCATTCGTAGTGTCAGCTTCAGTTGTTGGTCAAATCATTGACTTCTCTTAATAGCAGAGAGTCCCTCTGCAGGGTTTGTTTCTAGAGGCTGTGTTGCTAAAAGGGGTTTGAGGCTAGCACAGAAGAGAAGGATACCTCTAATAGAGAAAGATCCTAAGCAGGATCAACTGGAACAACTATGACATGCCTTGCATCACCTAGGAAGTGATTTCTCAGAAGTATAGGCCTGAGTAGAGTCTCTGAGAATACGGCTGTTTCTCAGCTGTGGACTGCAGGGCCAGAACAGCTCTACACAAGGGTGGCCCATTTGTGTAACTGCTCCTTGAGCTGGGCTGTTTCTGGCAGAGGGGTTGCGCTAGATGGTGTCTAGAGGTCACTTCCAACCTCAGCCATTCTCTGGTTCTGTGATTCTGGCCAGCAAGTTGGTGTAGACAACAGCAGGGACACTGTGGGCTGTGGGAACAAGATTGTCTCCCCATCGTTGCTCTTTGTAACATAAATGTTCCTCTGAAGTTTTTGTAAAGAAGTTTCCTGGAAAATTAAGAGTATTCATTCTTTGAGTCATAGACAGGGTTCAGCACTCAGGCCTCCAGATGCGTAATGTGGGAGAGAGGACAGGAATGGAGCTGGGGTCAGATATAGCTTCAACAGATTTCAAGCCCTCATAAAGCAGCTAAATGGTAGTCGTTTGGATAGGGCCAAGGGCTCTTCTACCCCTGCATTTCAGGACTGCTGGTTGTGAGCAAAAGATGGAAGCTCTGAACAGTGTCTGCCAAGCTGTGAGCTACAGAATTGGCTTGAAGGCTGCTGACAGTAGTGATCGCTTTATTTCCTGCAGGGATGACCACTGTTATTAGCTTCTCTGATACCGTCCATGGCTGTGCTTCTTCAGATGGTTTATGACAGGATTTGGAGTCCATAGAGTTGGTAGCTGAGAGGTGAGGGGCACATCTTGCTGCAGATCTGGCTGAATGACCAGCAACTGGAATCACTGTTCCATCAAGTTTTGGTAACTGCTGGGAATGGCTAGCATCTGCATGTGCATCTCCTAGCATTTTCTGTCAGACAAGGCTAGATGGACCTTTTTTCCTTGCTCCAGCAAAATGTCCTATTGCTTCAGAACGGGGAAGGAAGTTCGTAAATTCAGCAATGCCAATTACAAATGACATATCGGGAAGTCGCATGAACTGCACGGAGCAGTCAGGCCAAAGCCACTCAACTGTAGAAGAGCCAGCCCTTACCTGCAAAAACGTTCTGTCAGTGGTGGTTCAGAGACTTTGTGAGTATAAAAAACAATTTGGAGACATTTTCTCACCACATGAAATTATCGTTGAATAAAACCTGGAAGAGGCCCCTTGTGTGGTGGGTTTTCCAGCAGTCCTTAGTGTAGGAGATGGAGCATGGGCCAGCTGCAGGCGGGCAGGCCCGTCTGGATTGGGCACAGTTTGCTATAAAGCAGCAGGAGCTGGAACATCCAGGTCGCTGAGTGCAGCTTCTGGCTCTGGGTAGCAGAGAGGTCTGGCAGTGGAATCTGTCTGTTCTCAGCACCCTTCACATCAAACCCGTGGCTGAATCTTACAGCCACCTCGCTGGCGTTCCGGATGACCCTCCAAGTTGTGCCTCTGGGGAAATGGAAACACCTTTTCCACTAAATGGACCTACCTGACAGCTACTGCAGCCTGAGGCTGGTAAATAAAGACATGACTACCAGGAAGAGCTGTGAAATAGGCAGGAGTAGCATTAAAGAGCAGAGGAAGTAGTATTTGAACCTGGGATCCTCTGATTGCTAGCATCCCCTACGCTCACGTGGATGAGACGCGTCACTTGGCCTGGCTGTACAGAAGTCTAATAGGACAGCCTGCAGCTAATAGGACAGAATGCCGTGCAAGTCTGAGAGTGCAATGCCACAGAGGATTTGGTGTGCTGGGAGCTGTGAAGGGACGGGAGGCAACATCCTCACCTGGGATATCCTGCAGCTAATAGGACAGAATGCCGTGTCCTTTGCATGGTGTTCCATGTGACCCTAGAAGTCTTTGCTACTTCTGTCTCTTGTTCACTGATGGGATGCTGTGTGCAAACTGCCACAGTTTATAGCAGATGCCATAATGCCGGGGACATTGGACCAGAACCTAGGAGAGTTGACCCCACTTTTGGGTGAGCTACAGGGCTTCTTGCATTCTTGGAGAATCTCCAGTTTCTTTTGCCGACCCGTTCAGTGAAGCTAAATCTCCTCCTCAGAGGATGTGCAAAGCCATGCGTGGTTCTTCAGATGCTGTGATTGATGACTGGGAAGAAACTACAGAGAACCTGGGGTCTATATCACCCTGCATGAGATATGTAAAATGAGCTGGTTGGTGTAAACTCCCTCATAGTCAAGGAGGAAAACCAGGCATTGCTAAAGCATGGGTTTTCTAATTTGGATATAAGGTCCCCTAGTGAGGGAAGACTTCTGGGGGTGCAGGTAACTGGATCTTCTGTAGATACCCACAGCGCAGGAGGCCAGTCATCAAACTGAGCTGTCTGAAGTCAAACAGAAGGGACTTCTTCAGATATTCAAAACTATGCAATCTCTACAGACTTAAAAACCTCTCAGAAGTCATAATCTCATGTTGGTTCACACGGTCACATCATGTCCCTATGGGTGGTAGTTTTAGTGCAGTATCAGTTGCAGATGCTTTTTGCTTTATTTTCAGCTTCATTCTTTTTGCTCTTACCACACATTGAACATTTCTCCTGCATTCATGGCAATCCTGGGTCACCAATGGCAGAGGTGGCACATACCACTTCTAAAAAGAACCTCAGGACTTCCTGCTTTAGGCAGGAGTTTAAAAGCTTCTGCAATATGGGAGCTCTTTATGAGAGCTCATCTACCTTCTACTTTGAAACCCATGCACAAAGTGACATCCAAGTACAGATCTATGTACATATTTAGGTTAGAAGGAGCCTGTGGGGGCCTCCAAGAGCCCCTCCATGCAGGGGCAGCTTCAAAGCTAGATCAGCTCATGGAGGGATGTCCCTCAGCCTTTCCAGGCTCCTTTCTAGGCCTGCACTGCTCTCATGGTGGTTTTTTTCCTTGCATCCAATCAGAATTTCTGTTGACCCTTGTCTCTTTTTATACGTACCACTTCTAAAGTGGTCAAGAAGTCAACTTCTGTTGACCCTTGTCTCTTTTTATACTGCTGCGCACCCTTAAGGAGAGTTGAGCCCTGTATCGCTTGGGGTGGCAATATCCAGTTGCAGGAGGTAGTGACAGAAGCTCAAACCCAGCCTCTTTCTCAGCCCTCTGCCCACTCACAGAAGCTATTGCAGGCACCCAGCAGGGATCGGAGTCTGTTCCTCACCCCTGCACCACCTGCACATGAACCAGCCCTGCTCTGCTTGTCTTTCTGCAAGTGAGGCCTGGGCTGGTGCAGACTCCCCAGCCTCCTCCTTAGCTCCTCCTTGGCTTCCTGCCTCCTTTGGCTGCACCAAAGCTGCTCCAGCAGCACCATGGATGTGTAGCAGGTCTCTGTGCCACCGGGTCCCCAGCATGCCATCGCTGATAGATGTGCTAGTGCCCCACATCAAGCCTGCACCCTCTTTCTCTCACAGTTTTACAGCTACGGCTTCAGCAGAGAAGGACCCGTGAGCAGCTGGCAGACCAAGGCATTATGCCACGTAAGTATCTTTTCCTGCTTTTTTCACCCGTTCCTGACTCAGAGGGGCTGTCTTCATGTTCGGCACTGTTGGGGCACTGTGTGTGGCACCATCTGCCTGCTCAGACTTTCCCCCACTCTGAGCGTATTGTTCCTGGGGTAGACTTTGCTTCCTGCCCTGTAGCCATACTGTGATTCCTGGTGCTGTAAATGGAGCCCAACACCTGCCACACAAGTTATAATGCTGCTGCTTAGCTGAAGTTAGGAGAGCTGCTCAAATACCTTAAAATCCATCTACATAAATCTCCATCTCCATCACTGTAGCAGGACAGGCATATCCACTCCAAGATACTCAGAAAGCACTTCATGAAGGCAAGTTTCTCATGTAAAAGCCAGCTGAGGGGGTTCCAGGATGTGGCAAGGTAAAGCCCACAGAAGGGGAAGAAGTAGAGAGAACCCATTCCATGAGGCTGTTGCAAAAAGCAAGCAGTGGATTAACTGTGCCCAAGTTGAGGCACAGCCTCTGGACGAGGGAGTCTGATGCCCGGTGATACAGAGTGCCCAGCCAGGATCCCACAGGGGCAGAACTGGCAGAGTGGGACTGAGGCCAGTGCAGCCCCATCTGGGCCTGCCTGCTGGAGCCTGCCAAATGCCTGGGGATGTCAGTGCGTTCACTTCTCTGAAC